TTCTGAGTGAAGCAGTGGCCAATGTGGCAATGTGGTAAGGTGTCTAGTTTTTTTTTATCCAGTGAATGCAATGCGCTTCCGTAGATAACAGAAAACAATCAAATAAAATAAAATAGAATATAAATAGAAATCGTGTTATTCTCTAGACGAACAGTAGGTGGCGGTAAATACTAGCTAGGCGACTTCAGCCTCTTGGTGACGCCACATCCGGCCCTCCGTTTGACGTAACTTCCGGACGAATTCAAGCTAATGTTGCTCAGAATATAAAATTATAAATGAATTGCCAGCAGCTTTAGGACTGTTTGACATGTTTGTCTCATTTGGTCCATGCAAGGAAGAATAACCTGCAGTGTTGTAGCGGCTTTATTCTCCTCGTCGTCTCTACCCAGCCAACCATTTAGTTCCATATGACAGGGCTGTTCATTGTTAGCCTAGCTGTAGCCATGCTCTCAGACGTCGCTTTCACTTGTCTTCTGGGTTGCGGCTTGTTTGCGACGGGGACCACAGCTACTAGCTAGCTTGGTAGCTAGCTAGCTAAGCACAATTTCCCCAGTATTTAACGCTTTTTGTGTTCTCTTGTTTCTGCTTCAGCGTTTCTTGGACCTCTCGTCCTCTGTCACATTCCGTGTAACCTAACAGCGGCCGCACAACGTTAGTTTTAACGCGTAAAATACGGTATTAGCTTAGTTAGCAAGCTAGCCAGCCGGCTAACTTTGAGGAAACGTCTTTTTTTTAATACATTAAAGTTGGTGTTGACGTTGTCTTGACTCGAGTAGTGTACGTTAACTCCCTCGGGAAGGCCTGCCAACGTCTGCTGACGTTTTTCACCACTCAGTCAAGAACCGGAGCTTTAATTAGTTTGGTTTGTGGTCAGTTTCTGCCACGATGGCTTCTTCCTCTGGAAACGACGACGACCTCACCATCCCCAGAGCAGCTATCAACAAGATGATTAAAGAAACTCTCCCTAACGTACGAGTGGCTAACGACGCCAGGGAGCTCGTGGTTAACTGCTGCACAGAGTTCATACACCTCATATCCTCAGAAGCCAATGAAATATGCAACAAGTCCGACAAGAAGACCATATCTCCTGAGCATGTCATCAACGGTGAGTCCTGGTCCATGTCTGGCTGAGGAGCATGGGGGGGGGGTGTGTCCATGTCTCTGCATGTCTCTGCTTTGAATTTGAAACCACAGAAAGTAATTATTTCGCTTTCACCTCTTGCTTTCACACCACAGCCCTCGAGAGCCTTGGTTTCGCATCATACATCACAGAGGTGAAAGACGTCCTGCAGGAGTGTAAAACTGTTGCTCTGAAGAGGAGGAAGGCGAGCTCTCGACTGGAGAACCTGGGCATCCCGGAGGAAGAGCTCCTCAGACAACAACAGGAATTGTTTGCCAAGGTATGATCTAAGTTACAATACAACTTAGTAACAAATCTACACTTCTCCATGTACTGATGTTGTGGATGAGCCCCCCCCCCCATATTACCGTTCATCTAATGTACAGCTGGGGGCTGGATTTCACCGTATGATCTATTGCTATGTGTGGTGTGTAATCTTGGATGATCTGGTCCACTGACCTCCCAAAGCACTTAACACTTATCACACACACATTCATACACTGGTGGCAGAGGCTGCCATGCAAGGTGCCAGCCCGCTCAGCAGGAGCGATAAAGCGCTTCCTGTCCAAAGTGCTCAATGACACTAAGTTTACCCCTGCACACACTCAAGACGTTGGCGGCACAGCCATCAGGAGCAGGTTGGAGTTCAGTATCTTGTCCAACGACAACACCTCACAAGAAATACCCCTAAAGTTCATTGAATGAGTGCATTCTTTTGAGTATTTAAAACACTTTTTGGCAGGGTCCCCCCTTGTACACAATTTGAAAACATTATAATGTATTAATATGTGAAGTTACACATTACAGTTTTGTGTAATGAGAAAGCAGACATTTAAATATGCAATATTCTGATGAATAATTCATGATTACAGTAAAATGAACATCACATTGGATACAAATTGTGTAATAATAGCCAAAGATATAAAAAGAGCTGCAGTCCCTGCAGGTAGAGGTATGTTATAAGCATGTAGATATTGTAACTGTAGTGTATAATGTGAAGACAATGAAGGAGGTGATATTTGGGATATGCTTTATTTATTTACTGATTTGAAACATGCTTTCATAGAAACAATTGATTTGTGTGATAAACTTCTAGAGCAGCAGGACAACTTTGTCCAAGTTACTGAGCCGACTCAATTCTAATTCTTAGGATCATTATTATTGCACACTAACTTTTTAGCACACCCACTAAAGTGGATCATTCCCCTGTTTCACTACACATATTGAGAGTGTGTGACAAATAAATCCTTAAACCCTGAATATTACTGTAAAGCAACCATTAACTGTCAGAAAATAGTAGCTGTTAAGGGTGTTAATGAAGTATCATAGCATCCTGTGCAGTGGTTCTGTAGGTAGGTCTGTGGGGGTCCAGGCTTAGGTGTGGTGCACCATGTAACTACTTGTAAGGGCTGCAGAGAGGCTAGTGTAGCAGATTCTGTGTTTTCTGCTGCCACAAAACACAGTTTTAAAAAGCTGCAACTCAGATTTACATGTTGTGATGTAGCAAAGCCATTTCCAATGCAAACTGTCTCCTTGCTCAGCTGTTGCTCTCTAAGTGAATGACAGATTACAAACATGTCTACTTTGTACGTATTATAAATGAACACCAATGTCTAATAATGCATGGCACTTCCATTTAGTATACCGGCTGCAGTGTTAGACTAATCAATAAATCAATGTCTTTGCAACTTACTGTATAATATAATTCAGTAATGTATTAGTGTAAATGTATTCAGTATGTTAAAAACCTTGGGATGATTTTTTTCATGTCTAATGCATATAATTGCAGAGTATTGAGTCAAAAATACTGTGATATTTGAGTTGCTCAGCTCTGATTTGACATCAGATATATCATCATAATGATCCTTCTGTGATTACCTACTAAGCCCTGCGTTGGCCTTCCCTTATCGGATGTCTCTGCTTTGGTTTGACTGTGTGTATGCAGGCGCGGCAGCAGCAGGCAGAGCTCGCCCAGCAGGAGTGGCTACAGATGCAGCAGGCCGCCCAACAGGCACAGATGGCAGCAGCATCTGCCAGCGCCGCCCAGCAGGCCGGTTCCTCTCAGGATGAAGACGAAGAGGATGACATGTGATCCCAGGACGTCGTTCGACTTGTCCGAATCCCTTACTGGGACGGTTTTGGCACACAAATCTCCCAGTGCTGTCATCGACAGAGACATGAGACATGTTTGACCGCTGGTATACATCAGTGTAACATGGATAATGCACATTGGAACGGACAGTGAAGAGAAAGATAAAGGGGGATTTCAAAATCACCGCACGCTCAGATACCAGTACCTGAAAATGATTTGGATTGAGAAGGCTGTTAATAAAGTTTTGGATTAATCTCTTCTTTCCCCCCTTTTTTTCCCAGTTGCTTCTGTTTAATTATGTCTTGACATTATGTTGTGAGTAATTTGTAGAGTTCTGGATGTGTTGTGGACACAGAAGGCCAACGTTGCCTGGGATATGTCAGTGAGTTTTGGTGATAATGCAGCAAGTGTTCGCTCCTTCAGGTACTGCACCAGATAGCTTCCTTCTGTTATCCGTTGTGCTTGATCACTTTTGGTGGTTTAGGAGAAAGGGCTCTAGAATAATTTCAGAGCTGTCGGTTTCTCCTTTCATCGTGGTGTGAAGGTCATTTTTACAGAGACTTCATTTATTCCCCTTTAGTATATTTGTTTAACAGAGGATCATTGTTAGGGGTTGTGAATATTGAAATAGAGAATAATAGATAAATTTACGTTTTGTTTAAATTTTAGCACATTCAGATACTTTATGTTGAATTTGCTTTCTACCTTGAACCAACCACAGTATTGATAATTACCCACACCGTTCCGACACAGAATATTTTCGTCTCATAGAACCAAAGATAGAGGACAGACTAACAACCCAGAGTTACTGTTTTTTAAAGGTGTAGGTGCTACTGTGATTCTCATTGCTGACTCTGGGTCAGTATAAACAATGTTAAGGATTATTAACCTATGACTTTATAAGATGCTTTGATATCCAGACTGAATTTGTTATTTCCCCTCTCCTCGGGTGCAGTATCAAACATTTGCATTGTGACTGTGGTCAATCCTCAGTGTAAAGACAAGTAACCTTAGTTGTGACACACATTCACTCGCCTATGCTACAAAGTTGTATTCTTTAAGCAATAAAGGAGTCATGTTTTATAGACAATTGTTTTGTGTTTTTTAATCATACAACAAAAAATTACTGCTTTATTATTATGATTTCAAACACATGATGGTTATACCCCTCCCCCCTCTGCACTCACTGTTTGACGTTGATTTCTTCCTCCTGGGAGATGAGAGTCGTGTGTGAGCCGGCATGCGGACAGCAGAGGAGCACTTTACCTGCTGTGACCACAGCCTTGTAGTCTCAGGTTAATAAATTCTCTTTTAGAAATGGCAGGAGCAATCATAGAGAACATGAGCACTAAGAAACTGGTTATCTTGGGATTCTTTATTCTTGTTTTCCAAGTTATTTCCATTATGGTTGGAGCGCTAATTGGTAAGTTGCCAGATTTTTATTACTTTGTTTATTAAATTGTTGTAATTAGTAATTGTATTATGGTTTGTGTTGAAAGTGCCCCAGAAATCTGTATTTAAACAGCTGTCACCTGGTGTGGCTAAAAATTAAACCTTTATTCTGTCTGTACTTAACAGAACATGTTTCTGACAGATTATTCACCTCTGCCATAGCTCCCAGTCCTACCAGTGCCATTCGCTACTTGGCTACCAAATGCATCAATCGCCACAGGGAACGTGGCTGGCTTGTACCGTGGGGACCAAATCGGTGCCAGCAGATCCACAGTTTCGATGAGCCACTGGCAAAAACACTGGATGCCAACGACATCGTGTTTGCTGTGCATGTACCTCTTCCTAACAAGGAGATGAGCCCCTGGTTCCAGTATATGCTGGCTGTTCTACAGTTTGACATTGCTTTCAAAATGATCAATCAGATTGGTAAGATGTGTGCCTGTCAGTAATTTAAAGTCCCCCTCCAGTCAGAAATACGATTTTCTTCTGGCTCTACAGTGTGCTGTTTGAATGCTGTCTGTGGAGAGTTTGACACTAGAAGGATGTTTTCACATTCATCTGCTGAAACTGTAAAGTTTCTCTGTGCTCATTAAAAAGCTGATTTTAAGGGGTGGGGCCTACCAGCATGATTTGTGACATCATTAATAGTTTGGAGGTAAGTCCTGGTTCAAAACAAGAATGCCCCTATCTACAGCCAGTGTTTGGTTTGTCCCTTCTGGATTCGATTCCTATATGCAGGTGATTATACACTAATGAAAACACACCTATGTCTATTAAAGTATATTTTATTTCTGCTGCTGATAGATCCTCCTAAATGTTACACACTGGACCATTAATACAAGTCTGGAGGGACTCTTTAAATAACACCAGTCCAAGCTACTCTCATTCTTTTGACTGCTATCTAATAAAGCCAATCATGTCCCTGTCTGTTTAGAAGAGGATGTTATCATCACTATTGATACTGGCCTGGCATACAGGGATGATTTGATATCTGAGTGGACCACGGAGTTTCGCTCGGTGGAGCAGAGGCCGCTCCGGTGCACATTCCCAGTCCCTAAGGTGAACCTGCATAACTGCATTTAATACATGCAAATAAAGTCTTTCAAATTTGCCTCTGCTTAACTAAACTGTAACAGTCCATGTTTTGGCAGACATATGAAAATGAAGGCCGCTTTTATCACTGTGACCCAATACCATTCATGGAACTGGGAAGTGTGGCCCACAAATATTTTTTGATTAACCTGCGCTTGCCAGTGAATGACACGGTGAACGTTGGCATCGGAGAAATAAAGGACATCCAAATAGTGGTGAGTTTAATTCTCACAGTTTAACTTTCATTATATGTTTTGATTGAATTCAGCTGTTACATTCAAACATTTAATGTCCCTCTTCCCTAAGGGCATCCACCAGAATGGAGGTTTCACTACAGTGTGGATCAGCATGAAGACTGTGTTCAGTCCCTGGATATTTGGGGCAACGGTTTGGTACTGGCACAGGCTCAGCCTCATGGCAAGACCTCCAGTTCTTTTGGAAAGGTATGAGCCAAGAAGGAAGAATGGTTAAATGTATTAATGAAACCAACTGCTTTGTAGTAGTAATGTGAAGCTATACCAGGAATATTGTATGGAAGCCTAATGTGTATTAAATAAGTTACACATTATGATGAGTGTATAATGATAAACAATCACTGGAATACATGTGATCCCCTGAGAAAGAGAGAGAGAGAAATCCAAATGTCTTTTTTTAGAAAGTCTTTTGTTATTTCATAATGTCACTTTCATTTTGTAAAGCTAGTTTGTTGCTAGTTAGCTAGTTGGCAGTTGTGGGGGCGACTAGGGGAACGTGATTAGTTAAAAGGTGAGGGGGTGGGAATTGGTGACGGCTTCACTGTCATGAAAAGTTATATTATGAAATGAAAAGTGATTAATGAGTAATAAAATATATATTATATATCAATATAAACTCCAGTAAAACTTGATAAAAAACAATAATGAGCTGATTTTAGTAATTTAGCATTTTTGTTTTTTGTTTATTTATGTTTTGCATTTATATTTTGTCTTAATATTATAATGTCTTCATTTGTTATTTATTTGATATTGAACCCTTTGGGCCTGCATACAATCCCTCCATTTCTACATATGAACAGGTTTTAGATATATTATTGCAGACTGACTACACTATCATCTCAAGGTTGAGTGAAGTTATACAACACAGCTTCATTGCTCTTAAGTTAAACCACTGAGTGCAGCCCAGAGTGAACTTAAAGCCAGAGGTAAACCTTCTGTCGTACTTGTAAGAGGTATACACTGCTTCAGGGCATGTGTAGAGCAAGGGAAATGAAAAATGCTTAATCCTAAGTGCACCATTGGCCTGGTAGAACCAGGGCAATACTCTGCCTGCAGCAGAAAGTTACTTTTCTTTTAAGAGCAAAGTCATAGTATGTATTTGCCTTGTACAGGGTGATTTTTGCTCTGGGTATCTCTATGACGTTCCTGAACGTGCCGGTGGAGTGGCTGTCTCTGGGCTTTGAGTGGACGTGGGTCCTGCTGTTTGAAGATGTTCAACAGGGCGCTTTCTACTCTGCACTCTTTTGTTTCTGGATCATCTTCTGTGGTGAACACCTCATGGTTAGCACCTTTTAGTTGTTCTCGCTTCTGTACTTTTCTCCATACTTTTATGATAGTTATGCCTTTCCTTTTTTAACAAATCCTTTAGGACCAAAGTCAGAGGAATCAGCTCTCAGCATACTGGTGGCAGGTTGGACTGGTGGTGTTTGGCTCATCTGTTCTACTCATATTTGACCTGAGTGAAAGGTAATGACACGGCTGCTTTTAATGAGGTCTGTTGTGTTATGGTTATATCTTTCTGTAAATATGTATGTTCTTTTTTTAATTTATTTTTTATTACTTATAAAGGGGGGTTCATTTGACCAACCCTTTCTACAGTGTTTGGGCATCAGAAACTGGGTCGAATGTGGCTGTATCCTTTAGATATTTATATTGTATTATAAAAAAGTCTGATTTTAGCTTCCAAGAACATACTTTAAAGATCCCCTCCAGTCATGTATTACAACCATGGACATATAATAGATGTCGCGTCATATGTCTTCACTTCCTCTCACTGTACAAAAATGAAGCCAATATCCCAGAAATGGCTGCCACGTTTTACCATTTGGAGCCAGAGTCTGCATAGCAGTGATCGGGGTTAGCGCTGCAGTATCGAGGTCCCCCCCATACACCTAGCCAACTCAGTCACAAAAATTAACACTTAAACAAAAAAGCATAATAAGTATTATCTAAAATGCCAGAAACCATCTTCGGGAAAAAAATTTTGACGTATACTTTGATTTTTTAATTTGGCCCATGTCCCATTCGACAGGCTTTATGACCAATACTGCCACCAGGGAGCAATTGAGATGTTTTAGCTACACTTTTGGAGAGCTGTCATGTCGTCTATCTTTATATATGTCAATGATGAGAAGATGATGTCTCCTACTTAACTGTAAAGTCCATTCTCAGTGGATGTGCACTGGTGGCTGGTTCAAGTTTTTACATCACACTGTACAAGTTGCATACTGGACCAGGACTTCACTGTGATGTCACAAATCATGCTCAGCTTTTCAACGAACACAGAGAAACTTTCTACTTTCAGCAGATGAATGTAAAAACATCCTTCTAGTGTCAGACCCTGCACAGACAGCATTCAAACATCACATTGTAGGGACAAGAAGAAGAAGTGGAGGGGTCTTTAAATGTAGTTCTCTCTGTGTCTGCGTCTTTTCCTTGACTGTCATCCCAGATTACCTTCATTATTGTGGCAGGGATTTCTGTTTGTCTGTATTTCCTGTCCCTGTGTGGCATGGTACGTTGTGTGTTCAGGAACATTGGTGGGAAAACACAGCAACTTCCTGCAATGCCAGAGGCTAGGAGACTACGTTATAAGGTTTTTATTTTAATACCTGAATTACAAATAAAAAAGTAAAACGTTGGCAGAAAATTATACAATAGGTGAAATAATATCCCGTCTTTCCACTGTTGCTGGTTTTGGCAGGGAATAATCTTCAGGTTCAAGTTTTTGATGCTGGTAACACTAGCATGTGCAGCCATGACTGTCATCTTCTTTATCCTAAATCAAGTAAGTCTTAACTGCTGGTTTTATGACCTTTATGTTATTACTTACTCTTAAAATGATTTTAACTTTACTTATCTTTCACCAGGTCAGTGAAGGTCACTGGCACTGGGGAGACTACACTCTCCAAGTTCACAGTGCTTTTCTCACAGGGATCTACGGCATGTGGAACCTGTATGTTTTCAGCATTATCTTCCTTTATGCCCCCTCCCACAAGAACAACAGAAATGAGTCAGGAGACAGTCAACAAACAGGTCTGAGGCATTTCAAGTTCACTGTTGAAATCCAGTTCTCATATGAAAAAACAAATGAAAGAGACATGCAGTGTCCTGTATCAGTAGCTGTTTGCCTAAGATTATGTTCACTATTAACAGATACGCTGGAGAAGCCAGAAAGCCAAGAGAGCCGGCTGACATGTGGAGAGCAGGGGCCAACAGAGACCTACAGGATCACTGGGAAGGTGGCTGAGGAGTAACTGCCAGGCTCAATGTAGTTTAGAAAACATGTTTTGTTGTGTTATTTCATTATAATAGCTCTACTGTGTTTAACCCATGCAGACTTTCTAGAATAATGTGTGACATGACACAAAACATAGATAATAGGGAACAGTGAAAGTTATAGGGAGGTGCTGTAAGTCAATATATCCTCCTAAATGATATACACTCTACCTTTAATACATCAAATAATTGAGAGGGTATTTATTATCATTTTCAGATCCTAGTCTTTATTTTCTTTGTAATCAGTATGTTATATGATTATTGATATCATATTGTACATTTTCTGGGAAGTTAATTGAGAATCTCAGATGGGAATGTTTGTTTTTGGCTAAACCATTGGATTGATAATATAAAAGTACTTTATCACACTTATGCAAAGTACTGTAAATTGAATATTGTCTCTAACCTGTCATGCTTATTGATTGCTGGAACATCCAGACATCCTGTAAATCAACTGCAGAATCAATAAAATGTAGTATTAGTTATGCGTTGTATCTAGACTTAAACATACAGTGTTTGGTGTATTTTCTATTAAATGACCATATTCATACAGACATCATATAAGATACTGCCCTGTGCTTTTCTGACATGCATGTCAACTGCAAAACAATACTCAGTAAATCTATATGTAATCCGCTGAGTTGGGTAGTAGAATTAATTACATGTGATTGGAATTATCAGATTTAAAAAAATATCAACTATAATCAGCCAGGATTACATTTGAAAAATGTGTATTTAGATTATAGTTACGTTATCATGTATTACTTTTACATTACATTTTTTATGTCAAAATATGACCATTTTAAAAATGATTAAATGTTCTTTCATGACCAATGCTCTATTAACTCTCTGGGTTCTATAGATCTTGATCGGGGAACGGGGTACATCTCATGTTATTCCACTGTCCAATGCCTTTGGGATCAGAGCTGCCACACACAGGCCCACACAGCCTCTGAAGGGTCCACAGACTCAACCCAAGGCATCATGGGATTGCCAGTGGACGGCTTACAACCATGCTAACAACAGCAAAGATTTTTAACACAGAAAAATAGATCAAAGTGACAGAAGACATTTGGTGTTATTTCATGTGACCAATTGTTTATGCTGAATATGCAAAAAAGGATTTGATTTGCACTGAAAAAGATACTTATAGAAAAATTTACATTTTTGTGGCTGCATTCAATTTTTACATAGATTAGCTAGATAGAGATATATTTTTAGTGTTTGATTTTGAAGTATTCAGATTAGATTAATTTTTTTTTCATTTGCAATGTAATTTGTTTTCAGTAACTGACATTTTACAAGTTATCTGAACCAACACTGGTAATCCAGACATGAATGTCTGTAAACCAGGCAACTCACACTCAAATTTCTCAAATTGCCTTGGGGCCACTGCTGGTATTGTGATCTCACAGGAGGGCCACTGCAATGTTCAAGTGCTTCATGAAAGCGTTACAGCTTACACCTAACACATATACCTCTCATCCCCCCTTCCCACACACACACACACACACATACAAGCGCATTAATGCTATGTCCTGTTGTCTTCCCCAGAGTTCCCCCTTTCCCTTCACAGCCATGCCAAAACTTCATTTTTTTTTTTAGCTTGATAGAGCCTCATAGATGCACTTCCATTCCTCAGTGAATTGCTTGGTTTCGCTGTTATCCTCAGACAATGTCTCTTCTATGTTCAAATATTACCTCGTCTTTTCTTTCCATATCTGTAAAGTAGGGGCCTTTGTTTCCCCCAGTGTTTTAAAATGAGCTTCTTATACACAAGGGAGGAGAACATAATCTGCCATCCCACAGGATATCGTGTTTTTTCAGCATTCTGAGAAATACACAGATCAGCGGCAAACTGAATTTTTGTTTTACAATTAATATTTGATATTTATGTCATCTTTGTTGTTTGCAGCCAAACAAATAAAGCCACAAAACCTGCTCTCTTCTTATCAACGCATTGACTTTTTATACTTTTAAATTATTTTATAATAGAGTTGTGTTTTTATTTTAATTGTATATGAAAGAGTAGTTTAAATTGGTACTTGGTCCCCTTTCTATAGCTGTATGTACAGAATGACCTGGTGGCCAAACGTGCCGGCAGAGGGCGCTGTTGTCTCCTCCCAACAGGAGAGAAGAAACCCAGCCCAGCAGCTCAGCAGCCGCCAGCAGCAGATGACTGCCTCCGTGTCTCCTGTCTCTGCGCTCCACATCTACAGGGCTCAATGTTGGTCCTCCGCGTCGTCAAACTTTTCATTCCACACAGCTAGTGCGCATGTTTTCATGAAAGGAGCTCCACTGGCGTCGTTTCATGGCTCTACTTTGAAGGAATCAGCAACTCTGTCGGATCCGAGAGGCCAGGTGAGTATCAGCACACAGATTACACCAATAATCTTTCAGCAAGTGTCTGTAACATGACATGACAGCGTTGTGTGTGGGCAGTAATGCTGTGGTTAAATAACAGCAGCAGGTACAACTGTGGCCTCCAGTCCATCAGCATAACCCTGACAGCAGTTTGTGGTAACAAGTGTTTGTTCTGTAAGTGTTAGTCAGATTTACATGCTGGATACAGTCTCTTCTGGGTGGTAAACAGGTGTTTTAAAGCAGCATGAGTGACATACTAAAGAGGAATAAAAGTGGAGGAAATGATTTGCTTCTTCTCTCAGGAATACCATGGAAGAGTGTCTCTGAGAAGCTCAAGTATGTTGTTAAATCTTCTTTGAAAGTCTGTGGATATCAGGGTATTTTATTCTCCATGCAAAGCCTACTTGTTGTTAAGTAGCTTTCTTTCTTTAAAGTCCCAATAATAAAGCAGGAAAGACTCAAAGGTTTAGGCTGTGCTTGGAAACACACTTTGGAAAGTTAGGAAAATGAAAGAATACAGTATCACATCAGATCCACAGTGGGGACCTTGGAGCTCTTTAGTGAAACCTTTTAGTTGGGATGATTGACCTAACCATGATCTCACCCCAGGTTCTTAGTTTCAATGGGTGAACTAAGAAAAAGAGACAACACCCTTATGATCTTTGTCTTAAAAGTTCTCTGCAAAATATCCTGCAATTTGTTGTCACAATCCATAAATTTGTATAAAAAACCTTCAAGTTGACACATGGAGAACTTTTTCACTTGCTCAAAACCAACAGATCTTTTTTATGAAGGAAAAACGATTTAGTGCCCCATATATGGGCACAGGATTAAATGAAAAACAGCCTCGCCTTATGGCCTACAGCTGAGATGGGTAGTGTTGGTTAGCTGAAAATGTCATTAATTGACAGTAAATTGATTGATCAATTAAGTCATTTTCCATAGTCAGTTCTGGTTTGTCTAACGCATGGATTTACTACTACAACTCTATGTGTCAAATGAAAGTAAATCTGGGGGTTTTGGAGTAGTGGTTGGGGCCTTTTTGAAGACGTCTCCTGGGGCTTCAGGAAGTTGTTATTTTTCAATATTTCTGTTGACACATTGTGGACCAAATGAGAAATGGATTTGTTGACATAATATTTGTAAGTTTTTGCAGATTCATTCACATTGAATTCTGTTGTCATTGTGCATGGATGTACAAAATCTTTAAAGGGGAAAGACATCCGTAGTTTTATTATCTTAAATGTCCATGCAGGTATCCAGAAACCAAAAATACTTAAAGGCCAAATGTTGTTTTAGGTTTTGTATACCTGACTTATACCAAATACTTTGGAATATGTGTTATTACAACAATTGAAATATTGGAGCCATCTTTTTAAATTAAGCAGTCTATTATATGAGTAATTGCACTCTTACAGAAAGTTCATATCTTAAAGGTCAAGTGTGTAACATTTAAGAGGATCTGTCTTAAGTCTTAAGTTGAGATAGGAAGAGTCTAAAATGGGATTTTTCCCTTTTTGGTATTACAGCAACTCCTAACTAAATTTAGGAATCCCATCTTATCTTACCTTATACTATCTGCCTGTTACCTAGCAACTAATGCTACTTTTTTCATCTCGCTGAGCTAAATAACTATGTAACCGCTTTTTCTCATTGAAACATAAAAAAGTAGGTAACTTTTAGAGAACTAACTTTTTGTAATATTTTCATAAACTTTAACAGTATCCAGACAGTAGTAAATGAGAGAGATAAACGAAAGCAACCAATCAGAGATGAGAAAGATAGATAGTTGTTGGGTCTCGATTCCCAGGTTGTCAAATAGTGACACTTTGGGTTGGTGGCTTGAAGCTTCAGGACCCAAGCGTCTGTTTTTCTCTGGTCTGATTGGTTGTTGTGAAAGTTTCAGCAAATACAGTGTGGCAGAAAGGTTATTTTTATAAAAGTTATCTACTGCAGCTTTATGATTTGGGGAATTTAGGATGCTTGTGTAATACACTTTTCTTATCTTTAGTTGGATAGGAACTGTTTAACTGTAATGGCTTTTGTTCCAAAAACAGCTCCTAATTCTAGTTCTATCTACTATCTCCATGGTTACCAAACAGTTAAGATAGGATCTACAAGTTAGGAAGTTTCTGTAATGCAGCTACTAAACTCTGCAGTGCTGGTTAGTGCGTTTGGATTTTAAAGGAATCTTATGCACTGACAAGAATAGCCTCTGACTGAGATAGCTGTTGGTAGCTGGTTTCACTCCCAGGCGTACCCATGACATTATGGTAATAATGATTTTTACTGTCTGAACAGATGTTACCCTGTGTTTACTTCCACATGCAAAAATTACAGTAGCAGGAGCAACAAGTGGTAACTAGAGCTCCAGTGCTCAGAACAACTTCATTCATCCATTCGTCCACATTCAGTTAATCTGTCATGAAAAGGCTCCCGGATATGAACTTTACCATGTGAATTAAACAACAAAGATGTGAACATGTTAACAGTATGTATCAAATTGATACATTTAAAGTGTAGTGTTTCATATTTTTCATATATTGGACAACTGTTCCTGTAAATCTGGTGTCAGGTGTAATATATGATCATAGTACTGTGTTTCAAACATAATCTGTGTTTTGTTTTAATATTTACCAGTGAAAGCATATAATGTGCTGTGCAACAGACCAGAAAAGGGAAGGCATCACAGTGTTCTTAAAGGCATACCAGAATATTTTTCAGTTTATCTTTTCATCAACATGGCTTCTGGCAGTTGAGTGTGACCCCACCTGAGTGGGTTTCTGGCGCTGACGTGGGTTTTTTGGCTGCGTTGCCTGGTTACACCACAGTCACTGGCGTAGACCTTAGCGTGGTTTAATCTCGTCAGAGCGTCGCCCCCACACCCTCCCCCTTCCTCCCTCTATCCCTCGACTCAAATTCCACGCTCGGCCTCCAGGGAGCTTGTCTGTGCGTCACTGCTCTGGTCACAAAGACCTTCAGAGAATGCTTCCAGTCAACACAGTGGAGCTGCCTCCGGCCCCTGTTAGTCCACGGCAATATGTGAAAAATGTTCTCCTGCCTTGACACACGTCAGAGCTCTCTCAGCCTCCTCACCGGAGCGTATCCCAGTGACAAAGGTATTATACAGTCACTGAGTATGGGTGAAAATGTCACCCATATGAGGCTGCTTAGTTCACAAAGCATTACCTGCTTATCAACCAGTGACGAAGGCTTTCATAATGGACCCCTATTTGTTATATTGGCTTTTCCTCACAGGTGTTGCTTTCCATTTTCAACTTGATAGTATGTGTACATGCTCACTAGTATCCCAGAAATGTCTTTAATCAGATTTCTGAAATTTGTAGATATTGGCCACAGAGATGTCTGCCTTCTTTGAAATATAATAGAACCAGACGGCACTCTTGCCTGTGTAAATCCTGTGCTGTCACAAGCACAAGCTTCTCATCCTAAAGGAGACGAACACTTCCCTCTGTGTGGTGATACATTAGAGAAAGTACATGAAACTGCTCACAAAAAGGTCTGTCTCTTTAAGTAATTAGTTGATATATAATACATAATAAGAAATAATTCAACAATTTTGATTAAGTCATTTATCAAGCAAAAATGCAGAAAATGATCTGATTCCAGCTTTTGTAGAAGAAGACTGTTGTTTAGACAAAACAAGCTATTGATTTATTATAGCGATTGATATAGCAATATAGCGATTGATCTTTGGGGTGTGGGAATTTCTGGCTTTTTTAAAAAACTTTGTTCTTTCGATATTTTCTCTAACATCCTGGTTTATGTGAAAACAACCCAGATTGAATATTGTGTTTGGGACACCATTTTTTTTCCTGACAGAATATTCCAAAAAACTGATCACAACAAGAGTGTGAATGTAGGCCTACATGTAATAGTGTGTAACGGTTTGAGCTTCTTTATTCTACGTTCTATTTTACATTTTGATAAATTTTTTCTTCAGCCCTGGTACAACAATTATTTAAATAACACTTTATCAAACACTGTATTTTGTACATTATATTTACTGGCTTTTATATTTGAAGTGGATTTAGCTGTGGGGGAGAATATGGAGGTGAAAGCATTCCTTCATTTTTTGGGAATGATGATGATGATGATAGGTGTTTTTGACTGGGGTGGGATGCTGATGTCAAGTAGCTGAGTGTTGCCTTGGCAACCTGGCAGTAGCATAGATGAAATTAGACCTCCATAGTTCTCCTCATTGATGTTACTGGGTTAGCAGACTGCCACACATACATTCACACACTGACTGCAAATTGATGCTTTATTCTTATTGTCAGTCCTTTTTGGTCATGCATCTCTAATTCAAAGCAGTCTGTAGGGAAGCAACAAATGTAAGCCACATATTTTATTTTGCGACATATAGTCCTACATGAGTTTGGGAATTGATTGACAATAGTTGATCTCAAATTCTTTGCTGTCTGAATTAAAAGAGCAATAAATGTGCATTTTGGTTGCTTATAAATTCAAAATTAAGAGCCTTTTAAATTCCTACAGTGTGATGTTTGAACGATGTATGTGCAGAATTTGATACTAGAAGGATGTTTTCACCTGATGATGTGAAAGACAGCATCTTAATAGTATGGAAGTCAAGTGTGATGTAGAAACCTGAAGCCACCAGTGCACATATACTGAGAATGGACTACATTAAAGTAGAAAAAACATAAATAAACATATCTGACACACACTATTGTTCTGAGCAGATTATATATGTCTTAATACATGACTGGAGGGGATCTTTAATTTTATTAATTAATTTATATAAAACCCCTGTGACTTACTGGAAACTACGTCATCAATATCCTCCGTTTCTAAACAGTTTATGCTTTGATCAGATAGTGTGAGGAGAAAGCGCTGCCTTGCTGGTGCTCTTCCTGTCCCCGTGGCAGGATGTCCTTGCAGCTCCTGGGTCATTCACCCTGCAGAGTGACACACAGGCCTATGTGACAGTAGCCAGGTCACTGGCTAGTGTCATCCTGTGTATGATCAAACTGACACTGTGGGACCTGTCATATTGCTGCAGTGGGATATTTATAGATATGTGCTTTGTGCAGTCCCACATGATATGCAGCTCGACTGACACAATTACACAAACCAACCGCAGGGTCTCTGGTTTATCTGAGCAGCATCAAGGGAATGAGTCTCCTAATAAAGCCATTGTCATTAAATTCAGTTATCCTTCCTTTATGCCCTCCTTCAGTCAACCGGTTCCTGTGGGTGAAGTATGCACTGATGTGTAATTGGTTGGTTGGGTTGCACAGTGTCTCTCAGTGTGTTTTAATGACGCTAGACCTATTGAACACCTACTATAAATAAAAAAAGTCAATCAAAACCACAAATTTAAAGTGATGTGTGTATGTGTATGTGTACTTCTCATTTCCACCAATAATGTTAGTTACAATGGCAAATGCTGCCCCTTTATGTATTTATTTTAAGAGAGAAGCAAGTATGAACTGTATGCATTCCAGTATTAGTAAAGATACATAAAAGTTACATTTAAATAAATGCATGCACAAACGAATGACTGAATAAGGATCTAACTGGTAAGCTAGTGAAGAAGCATTGTTGATGACACCCATATTGCCACTGTGTGTGTTACCTGAGAGAGGTGTTATTGTCTTGATGACACTGCAGGTGGTAAGTCTTTAGATAACTGTGTGCTGTTGTGTGTGGAGCAAAGATTTGTAAATACTCATTATGTAAAGCTTTAAATTGATGTCATAATCTTTATCATATGGTGTGTAGTTCCCGTTAGGCTGCATTATACTGACCTAAAACAACCCTCCGCTACCCTGCCCTGATACTGGACAGCATGGTCAATTATAAACTAGACAAGGAAGTAAGAGGTTGCCTAGCAACTGGAACACAGCAGATAATAAAACATCTTTGGTTTGAGCATTGTACAATAACAGAGCTCTGAGTGTTGGTTGAACAGTTACTCTTCATTTATTCTGGGGTTATGTTTCTGTGAAGTACACCCTAATGCAGTGTATTTAAGGATGAAAACTAATTTCATTTGTAAAACAATAACTCTTCCCTTCAAATAATATACACAGCTTTTAGATTAAAATCATTCAGACATGGCAGAGTTTAATGTTCAAACACATACTCACACAAACATAATCCAAGCTGCTGCTTTCTCTTACACTAGTTTTAAACTAAAAAACTTTAAGATAAAAAACTTATACAGCTTATTTATTCAGCCAGAAAGTTCCTGACCAGCATGGCTTTGACAGGTCTTGACTTTAAAGAGCCAATCAATATAATTTTAAAACCATTTAAAGGTCCAGTGTGTAACATTGAGGAGAGCATTGTGTTATCTTAGTATGAGCTAGGTGGTCCTCTTCTACAGAGCCCACCGTGTTCAACAGCCATGTTTCTACAGTAGTACAGAACAGACAAACTAAATACTGGCTCTCGATAGGGCCTTTCATATTTCTTTGCCACTGTAGTTTCTTCTACACACTTGAAATGTGCTTGGAGGGTGAGGCGAGGGAGTTATAATCCTGTAAAACTACACTACTACTACACTAGACCTGAATTTTCCACTCAGCTCTGTTAAGTGTTTTAGCATCTTTCAGCTCATTAATTTTGGCCCTTTAACTCTTTTTGGTTCAATCTCTTCAACTGCCTTTCCAACCAAAGGCAATTGTATTTCAGTAAAAAGGCTGGTCATCCCACTATATATAATGACATTTAGCAGCTAAAGAGAGAGATATTTCCTTGAATAGTTGACCAAAACACACACACTAACAGGAAAGCATATATTAGACTTCCATTTGCCAGGCTACAAATGAATGCTAGTGTTTCCTACAAGTTTGCTGTAACAACTTTATAGGGTGATGAAATGCCAGTCTTGTGTTTATAGCTTTTTTATTCTGCCCCCAAGTGGCCAAAAAGGAATTATTATTACTGCTTTAATAAATTGTCAGTTGGTATATCAAGCAATCTTACATGGCTTCCTGATCACGAGGTCAACAAAGTCTGCGTCATAAAGATTATTTTAACTCATGTTTGTAGAGCATGTGCCCCATGCAAATCTCATCAATATACATAAGACTGTATGATGAATTAGGCCTTTAAGTGGAGGAGAAATGTAACTGCTGAAAGCAAGTAAACAATAGAAAGAAACTAAACAGTGCTTTCGACTGACATACCCCAGCTCCACTTGGTGTTACAGAATTAGGGAGACAGAGAGTTCTCATACCAAAGGACTGACCATCTAACTGGTTTCACTGGAATGTGGTAATGAATGCAGATGGAGCAGAAGCTACAGTATGTTGATTTGACATGCCAGGGCCCAACATTTCCTTAAATGATGAGGAAACTTGTGTCAGTGGACTGGTATTTCATCACACTGCGGTGGCTCATGGTCTCACAGTTTTGCTGAAAGGTCTAATAAATAAACAGTTTTCTATAGTCACACAAATCTGTCAGTGTTTCTGATTAGGTTTCTAAAAAATAGTGAAAATGCGGACTGAAGAATCTGATTCTCTGGTGCTGAAAACCCATTCGTATTGGACTGTTTGGTTTAGCTGTCATGGCTGGTTAGTAATATAACATTTCCTTTGCTTTTCTTTCTAGATTAATGCTGCTCACACAGATTGGGACCCAAATACATGCTCCTTGAGATCTTTTCCCACACAGTTCAGTGTCTCTGTCAGTAGACTCTGGCTCTCATTTGTGTCAGCTGTTGCTACCAGTGTCCCCAGCCTTTACTGTAATTGAGAGAAGGATCAGGTAACAAACATTGCTTCACCAGTCTATCCATTATTAATCTCACCCAGTCCCCATACGCCTTTCATATCTCCAGTCAGACTTTATGAACTGCCTGTAAGGTGCTGCCCTCTGGTGATAAAAACAGAGTTTACAGTGCTGTTGGAAATGTCTGTAAGTGGGCTGCCACATTTTGACATTTCTAGCAGGTAAATAACTCGCCATCGAACTGCTGAAGTTTATGTAAAAAAGAAATCTTGCGTATTGGAAGAAATTACTCTTCTCATTACATATATCCTATTTTACTGTCCTGAGGAGTACTACTCAGGTGTGGACATTTATCAGGCAGGGATACTGACAAATAAATGCCATTGGTTGAATTATGGGAAATGTATGTGCTTAAATTATCAAGCTTTAGTATTACAGACTAAAATGTAGAATCTCTTGGCCTCTTCTGCATTGATTTTGTCTCTTGTTAGTCCCCCAACTATAAGTGCAATACTTAATTACTTAGTTACTAATAATTAATTATTTATAAGAATATTTGCTAGAATTTTCACAGACATGAGTAGATGGGGCAGATAATCCAATTACTGCATTACTATTTGACAACCTCGGAATGAGATTTAACAATTGACTATTTTTCCCGGCTCTGATTGGTTGTTTTGAGATGCTGTGGATTTTTACTAATGCCAAAAGGGACACTAAAAGGATTTAGAGGATCATGATGTTTTTCACAGATTATTTGTCTAATGTACTATTGTCTGGATATAGTGAAAGTTTTAGCAAATATGACAAAAAGTTACCTTTCTAAAGGTTACCTACTCCAGCTTTAACTGGAAGCCCACAGCACTGTGTTCATTAGCATTAAAGCGGTGTCAACTATGTTACACTGCACTGACCAAACATCTCAGCTTGCTCTATTACATATTACCCACATGTTAAAAATGTGAGGTTTCTCCTTTAGGACAGGTTCCCATTTTCTTATTCTATTCAATTAAATTCTTTCTTAAAACATACCCACATACCAATATGTACACTAAATTGGTTATTGGTCATGGTAATTGTTCCCACTGTCCATACCTACATTGAATAGATCCCTTACTGAAATGATTTACAATGTAATTGATGGGGGACTAAATCTAAACTTCTTGTTCTGTGCCATTGAGGCTTCAGCAGTCTGAGTTACTGAGATCTTTTTAGTACAAAATGCACTGTTTGTATTACTGTCCCCCCACAAAGGATTCTCCTTCACGTTCCTTTAAATTCACTTTTGTAACCGATCTCGTCACAAATATATAAGAGGAGGAAGAATTACAACGACCCAAATTTCTTTCATTGGACATATTGGTGTGCAAGTACTGTTTTAAGATAGGCGTGAGAAAATATGAACCTGTCCTTCAAATGGTTCTATTACCATGTGGACGGTTACAGTACAGGAATACCAGTGTTCAAAGAGCTACACTGCCAGATGTAAATTACATGTCATATCAGTGTGTTCTTCCAAACCTCTTAAATCTGTTCATTAGCAGATGATGCTGCTCATACTGAGGTAACTCACTCGCCTGTGTTCTGTACTAAGAAATGTCCTCCACATGATGGCACTATTGGCCAGTCTGTTACCTTCATACCCTCAGGTTTAAGATGACTTTTTATTATGGTAGTGCACTTCCTATTATACTACATGTTTGGTTATGAGAATAGCTTGAGTTTTGTTTAATTATGACTATAATATAGAATACATTAATTGATCAAGAAAATAACCAGCAGATAAATCCATAATGAAAATAATCATTATTGTTAAACTACAAAACACAAAAGCCGCTTGAACATTAGTTCATGAGACAATTTGGCACTCCCAGATTGAGAGTGCAATACCACTATCATAATTATGGACAACTGTACTTGTGCATTTGTTATGATCACATTTTGACTAAAAACTTGACAACTTTGCTAACACAGCCTAACATTTACATTACAACTAGCATAGAAATTATTTAGAATTTTGTTAAAAAGTTACATAACGTTGCAAGGAATCTTGAATACTTCTTGCACCACTGAATCACATATAATATCATTAGTAGTAGGTTAGTCAATAAACGCCTGGAAAATGATTCATTTTCAGGTTTAGATTAAGATTTTAGGTCAGAAGAAGGGACACATTTTTGAAAAATGTAGCTTCCCAGAGACAGATTTTGGAGAGAACAAGGTATAGTTGATTGCACTAATGTCACTTATAATTAAACGAGAAAGTGACCCAGTTGATGTGCAGGTGTTAATGGACCTAACAGTAATACCGCTGGTCTGTAGATGGTGGCAAATAATCAATAATCCCAACACCTTATTGTAATGATCATTATGTAACAGCAAAATTTCAGGTGGGATGCTTACTGAGCTTTGAATGAAAGTTTGGACTCGGTGCAACTTGAGCTTTTGAGTTCCGGGGTGTGTGTTCATATGTCTAGGAGGAGGTTTACACATTTACTGCATTGTTGTCGCACCCAAGGGAGATCTCAGGCCTCTTCAGGCATGTACTCCATCCTGTTTCATAAGCATCTGCTCATATATGGGCATCTTCCTTCCTTCTGCTTGGTTGCACTACGTCCGCTTCCTGAACTGAAATCTCCTTCCTACTCCCCCCCTTCCATCACACGCACATACACAGTCCTACTCATGTTGGTTAGCTGTGGGCAGAGGCGGGAGTGTCTCTTCCCGGTGCAGGAAGTAATGTGGTTAATACTCATTTGATCACCGGTTCTGATGGCTTGCATCCATGACCAGCAAGCCAGCACTGGTTGCGTACTTTGCCTTTTTGTTGTTGGTGGGTGCAAGTTCCGTCTGTAAGCATATGTTAAGACTGATGAAAATAGCTCATAAGTCTGCACGTGAAGCTGTGTGTGTTTCCCTCACACCACACATGTCATGCTTCATTTTTTCCCAGGAAGCAGAAGAAAAAAAATCTTGTAAGATCTGTAAGAGACAGAAAAGAATACACCTTTTGTTCCTGTGTGAGATATGCTTGGCAGCTTTCTTCTGTTCTCAGGAACTGTGATGTAGTCTGTGTTGCTTGTAAAAATAAATCTTAGACTTCCAGAGTTTTACATTCTTAATGTTATTTATGTACGTGCACCTCTAACCCCGGGAATTCATACTGGGATCGGTGTGCACTGGGTGGCCTCTAAGTGCCCTGGATGAATGCAGATTCCACTTGAGATTAGCTGTCCTATCTGCACAGCTATAATGTAGACACATGTTGGCTTTGAAGTAGGACGAACAGCCTCATGAGGTTTTTGCCACAGGGCACAGAAATCAATAGTGTGCAGCCACGGGTCCTTCAGCCACTGAACTCTACTTTTTTTCTTGTCCACCTGGGAAAATATTTACAATTTAAACCATATGCTTTAGATTAATTAGATTAAGAAAAATGCAGTATTATGTGGCTTATTAGCACAGGAACATTTCCTGTGTGATGCTTCGTGGGAAGAGAGAAGATCCAATCCTATTGTGCCTACACAAAACCATTAGCGTGAATGAATTGTTCCTGCAGTTTCAGATGTGTAATTACCAGCCCCCCTTCTTGTTGCCTCCTTGTGACATATTATGAGCTCACTCAACAACTAGGTCACTACAGATCCTGTTTCCATGGATAGGGTTTTCACACAAGTGCCTGCCAGGTGCTGACTTCACCTCTGTCAGTGGAGGGAATTGCAAGAATAGGTAACATGTATGTACTGGTTTTAGGCATGCTAGCGTCATGTCTCTAGGCATGTCTACTGGTCAGACCACTACTTACTCCAACAACTATAGGATGAATTAAAGGACCAGTGTATTTGATTAAGTGACATTTAGCGGTGAAGTTGCAGATTGCAACCAACTGAAAATGCCTTTCAAGTATGTAGGAAAAACTATGGTGGCTGCGGAAGGGCCTATCTAGATCCAGTGTTTGGTTTAGGTTATTGTAGAAACATGGAGAGGAGAGAAGGAGAGAACTCAAACTTCAGCCAGTCAGATCAATGTAATATATTGATATATATAACAGTCAAACTCTTACTGAAGCCAGTGAGGTGAAAAGATCTTTACCATCAAGAAAAGCCTGCTGTTCTTGCTATATTTTTAATGAAGAAATACTCTGCTAGCAGCATCTATGCTAACTTCTTAGCAGCCGCTATCGTTGTTTGCTGACAAACATCATACACACCTAGCATTAAAGGACCATGATTGGTCTAGGACCACTGTGGTTGGATACAAGCACATGGCTTAAAGCCATGATCGATTCTTGCAAGTTCACAAGATCTGGAACCTAGCTGCCTCACATATTTTCATCGAGAAAAGTAAGGAAATATTCTCCAGTTCCGATATAACTGAACAAAAAGTCATTTCTCACACATGTTGTCACACATACACGTAGCTTTAAACCACGCCTGTAGCTTATGCCATAGCTGCCAGTAGTTCCTCATAGGATGCCAATTAGTTCGAATCACTGTGGTTTGGACAAGCCTGGCAAGATGGATGCTGGCGTGATCTCGGGAGTCCAGCTGCCTCGCAAGGTTAATCAGCCTCAGCTGTACTTTGCGTTAAGTGCAAATTCTAGCATGCTAAAACACTAAACTAATGGTCAAAGTGGTAAACATAATACCTGCATGGTAGCATTGTCCTTGTGACCATGTTAGCATACTGGCGTTAGCAATTAACATAGCCTCATAGAGCTGCTAGCATGGCTGTAGAGAGAGCCTCTGCATAGCAACAGTATGTCTGCTGTTAAAAACCCTCTAATCATGACCGCGGGGTCTTGACAATAAACAGTCCACACAGCTTGCTTTATCTGTCTATGTACTGCTGTGAGACGCTCCTGTGCCACGTGTCTGCCAGACAAGAATTCCACCCTGATCTTTGCTGCGGGAGCTGTCCAGGGAATGTTGGACTCCAGTTAACAAACATAAGGGTCTGGCAGTTAAGAGAGGAAGCCCAAGTAGCAGTCTGGATGTCACCCTGCCCAGAAAATCTGTCCAGCCACTGGTTGCATG